GGATTTGTCATTCCCACCACTAAATCAGTAATATTTCCTTTACCTGTTATTATGCACTCCTTTGTACGTTAGTGCATACTGGCCCTGCAAGTTTAGCACAAGAAAATCTGGATCATCTTTTTGCAACGCAGCATCAACATCATGTGGTTGCTTGTTTCAAGCAAAGAGAAGCTGAAGATGGTGCCAGCAGAGGAAGAAAACTGTAGCAACAGGAGATTGTCCTCTCAGCCAGCTGGAAGCTTTTTCTCTACGGCTGGATGGTGAAATTGGCTCAGCCACTGAGCCTGTACACAGGTAGTCAAAAAGCAGTTATTGGAGTGCCTAGATATATGATTTCTGTCTTTAATGTTAGCTATGAAATCAAGCAATGGAAGCTGTGTAGTAATTTTAAGTAACCCAAGATCAAACAAAAAAGCTACATGTTCCCAGGTAAGAGTAGTGTTTGCAAGAGGGTCTAAGGATTTAGGGACCTGTGTGGTATTATCGAAAGAGAAGGACACAAGTTTAAATTTAGGTTGTTCATTTCGTTCATTTAAGCAAGAGTCAAAGTTTAAATCTAGAAATACACTAAAAGAGTTATTCTAGAAAACCTAGTTAAGAATGATTTTTTGCACATAAGCCCCTGTTTCAGTACACTTATTCTGGAGTAAATCCTCTTTCCAATTCCACTTAATCCCTGTTATTAGGATTAAGAATATTTACATACCGAGTTGTTATAAAATTTGTTTTTTATTATATTTGCAGTTACAGACATGGATTTTAGTAGCCTGCCATATTACAAATAACTTTCAAAGATATGACTTACAGTTTCAAATCACATTCACTTAAGTTTTTCTTTAAAATGTTCTTCTCTGTTAGCAGGCTCTTCTTATCATTCCACTTCTGATATATTTTTAGTGCCTCAAGTATTTTGTAGACTACACCAGTAATGCCCAAGCCTTATTTGTATGTTGGCAATTTGGTGCCAGCACGAGCTGCACCAAAGTCAGTGTGCATATCCCTGTGTCATTTAGAAAGCAGTCTCACACTGAGACTTAAATGTGAATTCAGACTTTCAAATTTAGGTTCCCATTTTTAAGTTTTAAATGTAAATTCTTTGCAAAATTTTTGACATTAATGTTAGAAGAATACCATAACCACCTGTTAACTGTGCATATTATATTTATAGGCTTTGAACCATTTCTCTGCAATCACTTGGAAACTCCAGTGTAAGGAATGAGTTTTATGGAGCCCTTGAAGAGAGTGGTAAGGAACAGGAGCTGGATACCTTCATGTGAAAACCTGAAAGTTTTATATAATCTTATTTCACTAAAAGTATTATCCCTGCCCCCACCATCCAACTGTGCTTGACAGCAGCTAATATTAAACTGTATCGTAGAATAAATGGAAGCAAGTTTTGTTCAGGAAGTATTACAAAGACTATATGAAGAGTAATTGTCTAATTACTATAAACACTCATATATATGACTATAAGCACATTAAAGTATTTGAGAACACGAAAGAGTATATAAGGGTATAAATATGTGTGTATATGTGTATACGGTATACATAGTATGTATAAGGTATATATATATGTGTGTGTGCATACATGAGTTGAAGCTTGTGTTTGACTTTCTTTTTCCTGAGGTCCCCATGACTTTTAAGACCAGAAGCCTCCTAAGCATCAGTTCAAGGCGTGTACAGCACGATGTTGTGTGAGCAGGCTGCTCTAACCTGCTTTTCTTTTTCTCATACTTCCTTGGGATGTTCATACATGCAGTCTCATTGATTTATTTCTTTTTTTAAGAATTACTTTAAGACCTTTTCTATTGGTTTAAGTACATATTTTGAACGAAATATTAAAAATGCCACTTTGAAAGACAAGCAGTCTGTGAATTTGGTGAATTTAAAACACCTCTTTTTCCTGTAAATGGATTTGTGTCCAAACAGATGGGAAAAATGTGGTATTTCCTCCATTATTTTTTTATGCATAAAGTATTTGCAAAAGAAAGAAATGAATAAAAGCTCTGCTGCTACAGGTCAGTTCTTTACCTGAGGTGCAAGGAGCTTCTGCATCATTTGATGCACAACCCATTCACAGCAAACCAGTTGCTAATTGCCATGATGGGAAGGAAAAATAATTTTATCTTTAGAACTTGTGTCCTTGTATTCTGCCTGCTAGCAGTTTGTGTTCAGATTAACTTCTTGCCAAAGTTGCTGCTACTGCTTCTGGCCAAACATATTAGGGAACAGGCAAGCCTTTGTATATGCCTGGAATTTTGTTTTAGATGAAAAATCCAGACAAGAAACTGCACCATTCATTCAATCAAGCAAACAGCAAAAATTAGATCAGTGTGAAGGCACAAGCTTTTAGACTTCACTGGTTGCCTGGAGGATTAGAGCTCTCTGCAGAACATACTGAAAGGTCACCACCTCACTGCTTTTATCCACTGCACTTAACTGTGAAAAATAAAGCAGCATGCATCTTGTTGCAGTTCAGTGCCAATACCTTATGGATCTTACTGTTCTGTAATATGAATCAAGAAATGATGACTACATGGATTTGGTTGTAAACCATAACGATAAGACACCCCCTGAGCATATGGCAGGGAAGAAAAATAGAATTTTACATAGAGTCATTAATCTTCAAATTTGAAAATAAGAAAGGCTTCACAGTTAAAAGAAAGCGCTCTGCTTTTGGCCAAGATAAACATTTTGTTCTGGGAGTGAAAAGGGAGCACCTTCTGTTGGGAATGGATGCATCCTTCTTGCGGGAGGAATAAGAAATTACTTCTTTTTTTTTTTTTACCTGGGGAGATAAGTCAATGGATAAAATAGGAAAACTGGGAAGGAGAGAAAATTACTGTTGAACTAGGCCTTTGGGGTAATTTTAACTAAATTTAATAATTGAATCATTAAATATTCAGAATGAAAATGAAACCACTATTCTTAAACTCTTGCTCAGTTCATTAGTTCATTCTTCACCCTTGGTTGTTAAGCTGCCCTTCCTCATGACTCCAGCCTGATTAAGGTAACTAAGGTAACTAAGGCTCCAACTTTTGGTTCCCCAAGGCTGGCCTGGCTGCTCTTGATCTTGTTGAGTCATCCTTACATCTGCAAGTAAGATGCTCAAATAGAAAGAATCTGGGTAAGACTGCTTATATGACTAGGAGATAATGGTATGTGGGCAAGAGAGACATTAGCTACCAGAAATCAGTTCGTAATTGAGACTCTGCAATCTGTAATTTACTTAAGAGATTCAGAATTATATCCTGTACTCATTTACAGCGGTGTAAGTTTGGAATTATAACCTTAACATCAGCGACGTTATTCATGGAATAAAACAAGTCCAATGTGATGAGCAAACAGTGACCTACTTACTACTATTGAAAACATGGTAATGTAGAGCAGTAAGAACTTTCTGTTGACTTTAATTGTGCTCATGCACTTCAGTGGTTTGTTTGGGAGACAGAGCAGGATGTGAATGGCACCACTTCTTATTCAGGGGTATCTTTATTTTGAAAATGATGTGTCTTCTTTCAGCTGAGTTGTTTTCAAGCTCTTTACAGTATGGTGCCTTCTTGAAATATTTTCATACTGAAGTGAGTTGAGTCCTTCTGCTTTACCAAGTAAAACGATAAACAACACCATTTTGGCACCATTAGGTTGCATTTACAGTCTATCATATTATAGAGACATTAGAAATGATCTACTGAATTATGGAAGTAGCAGCCTTTAAATGTCTCATAAGTTTGGGAGTGAAAAGAAATAGGAGACATGTGGGATTCATCTTTTTGTTTTAGTCGGGTATGAAAATGGAGACAGAAGCAGAGTTACAGCAGATCAGTAGTCCAGATACCAGCAAAGAAAACATATTTAGCTAAACTTAAATATTTACTGAATGATAATGTGAACTATGTATTATCTGCGGGTGGCTCATAAATGGAACTGCCCTGAATTGTGCCAAGCCAGTAGTGGGAACAAAGAGCCTGAAAGAACTTTATAAAGGTTGCAATCCCAATTCATGATGATATGAATCATGATAATGTTCTTTGGTAAGGTGTTCATCCATGATCACATGCTACCTACATGGCTGGAGGACTTGGACTTGATTTGATCCAAATTGCAAAGAATTCAGGAAGGGAAAGGATGGTCCTGCCATGAAGGAAGTGATTTCTAGCCTAAAGGGACTAAATTTTATTGCTGTTAATGCACCTAGCAATCCTACAGAAATTGCTTAAACTAACTTGGTTACCTATTGCATATTGCTAACTTTCTACCCTGAGAACTCAAGCAGTCAGATTTCTGAGATACTGAGCACTTACAGCTCTAGCTGAAATCAAAATGCTCTGAACCTATGAAGAATCTTCTATACCGATAAGCAACCTCAAAAGTCAAGTTGCACATTTCCAAAGTGAGCACTTAGAATAAGTGGACACTTTTTACCTTTTCCTCTCTGCAGCTCAGCTCACTAATGGTAAAAGCAGGAATAATACCTCATCTCACAGGAGTCTAGTCTTTCTGAAGCACTTGAAAGACATTGTGATGCTGAGCACTGTGGAGTATCACATGAGGGCATCTGATCACACCTTCAGAGCAGGACTCAAATACTATTCAATAAATAAGGCCTATAGCTACACACTGAGCAATGCGGGGAAAAGCAATGACAGAACTATTGAGTAGCTACAGAGAAAAGCAATGACACAACCATTGAGTAGCCATCTATCTTGTGTGCTTAATGATGCAGTCTGAGGGAAAAATGGCCTAAGAATGTGTAATTAAAGGCTGTAACCTAAATGATGCACTGCAAAAGGCTGCATTAATGTAATAAAGACAATGTGACTTTGGGCAATTTCTACATATCGTTTCTCAAATCTGTATTCTCAATATTCTTTTAACATGGATTTTTCTGTGGGTAATTAATATAAAGCTTTGTTATACTCTTTAGAAAAAAGTATCAATGCATTGATTTGAAGAAACACAGCATATATCTCCATTGAAATGTGGACACTACAAAAGAGTAGACAGAGTATATTTTATTTACCTGAGTTTGCGTGACAGGGTTTATGTATGTCTGTTTAAGATTGCTGTTGTTTAGCACAAACTTCAGCTAGGGTACTGTCTTGAGAGAAGTGGCCATGGATTCTTCAAGAAGCTGTAGCAGACGTGAGGTTGTACATGAAAGTAGGCATAGAACTTTCAGTGACTAAACCTAGTATCATTTAGCTAATTAGTTTTATATTTTACGATGCTTGTAACATTTTATAACATCAGCTTGAGGGAACATATCTCCCAGTCCTTCAAAGCAGTGACTTCACTGATATTATTCAGATGTTCCATCTACACATATATTTGCAATTAAGTACTTGCTAAAATTATTTGTAGGCTTAGGTCAAATTATTTAACTTGACCATCAGCAGCACTGCAGTTTGTTCAGCAATTCTTTGCCAATATCCAGTAGCGGTGCTGGTCACCCTGATCTTCTGTGCACCCAGATTCCTCTGTTGTATTTATCAATGCATTAACAAGTCTGCCATTTCCACAGCTCAGGTGAGAAAAGTGGAGACAGGGAAGAAGAAAGCAGCTTCCTAAAATAATAGTAATTTTATCACATGAAAAGATGATAAAAGCAGCTGCTTTGGCTTTCATTCTAACATGTTAGAAATCTGCTACAGCTAGAACAGTTCAAGATTTTTTGAAGACAGGAAATAGCATCTTTTTCAACAAAAATTGCCATTCGGTCACAATTTCTTATTAAAAAAACAAACCCAAACCAAAAAACTAACTGTAGAATGGTTTGTTTCCTTACTAGGGGACACAGCAGTATTTTTTTTAAATACGTCTATAAACTTTCTATAAGCTTTTATATGACAGGTTCACCAACAACCCTGACTTCACATTCACATGCCTCCTCCTCTTTCATCCTCTAACCAGTGATTCCTGCTTTCTCTTCTCCCCACTCCAGGAATTCAGCAGGTTACCTCCTGAAGTGTGCTAACACACCCTTTCATTTTTGTTTGATGCTATGTTTTTGTCCTGGATTAGTACTCTGGCAGGAATATACGTACGTGCTGTTAAAAAGCTTCAGCTCTGCTTTGCCTCAGATAGAAGAAGGTCCTGATTTTAAAGTGTTAGACAATACTGGTTCAGTTTGCAGGACAGGTGATCTTTCACATGTTACTTCAATTTTTAATTCTGTTGCTACGGAAAAATGTATTTGCAGTTAAATTAAATTTAAAAGCAATTACAATCAACCACACCACCAGATGGAGCTCCTTTTCTGCCTTTCCAGCTGTAGGTGGAAACTGGGGGACAGAATTCACTGGGACTGTGGGACTTAACTATATTTATAGTCAATGAAATAGAAAAGTCCAATTTTTTACTTCTAGTGATGCAGGACTGAGCATCTCTGCATTCATATACAGTTATTTCAGGTTTTTTTTTTAATTTGTATACTGTATACTTTTGCAATCCTGTTTCTTGTTCATGTACTTGAGAGTTGTCAAGTAGATGCTTACTTGTTAGAATGGTACAGTATTATTAAAGCAGCATATATTTCTGCTCTTCATATTTTCTACTGTAAAAACTATTAACATTCTTTAGAAACTCAAATCTCTCTTTGTTCAGACCACTACATGATCTGTTTTGTTCACTGAAATTCAACTCTGAAGTCTTTTGTGCTTTTAGCAGTACTATATTGTGTTACAGATAGCTAGTTGCTGGTACATATATATACGTATATATATATACGCACATCAACTGAAGTGATAATGTTCGTAAGTCATAAGAATCAATGTAACTGTGATAAACATTCTCTCCTTTACAGGATATACTCTATCAGATGCCTGTTTGGCCATCTATTATCATAGTTTAGCAAGTGAGAACAAACTATAAGTGAAGCAGTCCTGGAGAGCTACGAAGAGACAGGGTTGAATTTATTCCTTTTTCAGCAGTTTGAAAAAAAAACACATTCAAACAAACCATTTTTAACGTAAGGTTGATACAGCACAATTACTGGGAAAGCCTATTCTCATGTTTTAACCCAAGTGAAAGAAATGTGAGACACATACAACTTACCTGGTTGTGACTGATGGACTGAAAAGGTTGGTCTGTATTTGCCAGGAGTTATTAGAACAGGCTATTACTGCACAGCAATATTTTCCCAAAAGACAGGGAGGTATCAGCTGGTGAGGTCAGGTCAGCATTCCATTATGCCACGTCAAACAAGACTCCAAAGACCAGTGGAGGTTTTGCCAGCTGATGTCATGAAGGTCCTTCTGACCAGCCGGCCAATTCCATTGTCCTCAGAGAGTCCAAATGAGCTCATGCTGCTGTTGATTTTGAGTGAACTACACAACTTGCTGCTTGTGACAAACACAGAAATACAAAACAGGATTAATGTGAGTACAAGTTCATGTCATTTTCCATTTTCATGTCTCATTTCCAGTAGGCAAAAAACCTAGAGGGAAAAAAAAAATAATGCCATGGACATCTAATATTCATGTGCTAACAACACAAAAAGCTGGTCTAGAGATGTGTTGATTTGTCTTTTATGTTTTATATACTTTCTAGGAGTCCATTTTAGAGCATATGTCAAGCATTTGGAATTCTGGAGTGTCCGTAGCCAAGAAGTGAATGTATCGTCTGTTTGAATATGTTTCCTTTCAGTTTTTCAAGAAAACATTGATTTTTCTTTTCCAGAGGCAGTCTGCTAGGTGGCAGGGCAGGAGCACAATCCAGCCATTTAAGGCAGATGGCAAGAAAAAGGTGGATTATATTAATAGCCCAGTAACAGTTTTGGGGGTAGAATGCCCTTTATATCAAGCTACTCTGGATAAGATAGAGCTTATTACTCACTGAAGTACAAAGCAATATCCTAGCATAATGTAGAGTAAGAATTTGATCCAAACTGTGTTTTTCCTAGATTGCTAAGTAAAAATAATACATAACCCTAGAGGTTTTACATGTGAGAACCGGGATCCTAGTGTTCATCAGAAACCTTTGAAAGAGATGTGGTTCTGCGGCTTTCTGGAGATTCACACTAAACCAAAGAAAACCCATAAAACCCCATTTCAACTCCTATGCTGTGAATACGTTTGGGAAGCTAGAACATTTTTCTCACTGAGAATCTGACTTTTTCCTTTTCAAACACACTCTATTTGGGTTAAATTGTTGAAATGCAAATATAAGTCTCTCTATTAGAATGGCAGCTTGTACATGGGAGGGGATTTTATTGTAATATAATTTATGTGACAAATGACTTAAGATTTTCAGTGTACCACATCTAAATAAAAGATAAATATCTTATAAATATCAAAAGTTTTAATCCAAATCTTGACCCCTCTAAAAGCTGCAAGAACCAAGCAATGCTTCAGAAACTGTAGTGAATGGAAAGTTTTTGTGCAACATGGTTTTGTCATGGTTAATGCCAACTGCAGTCTGAATTTAGTGTTTGTTCAAGAACTTGGAATCTTTTCCATGCATTTTCTGCAAAACAGAAAGTAAAAAAAAAATAAAATCATTTGTACCATATATCACAAAGAATGGACTTGATTTTATACCAGATACAGGGAAATCTCAGAGGTACTGAAAGTAATCACAAAAGTCTGCCTCTAAAGAGGTTATCATTTCATCCAAATAGAGGGACGTTCCTTGCCTTGTTACGAAATACTTGGTATTAGTAAATTAAAAAGTATATCCCCCATCATTACAGGAAACACAGCCACTGCAATGATTGAGGAAAACTTAATAAATATTTTTTCATACATTTAAAATAATTGCACAGATGCAAGTCTGCTGAGAGATAAGACCAAATATACAGCAGACGTCTTTTAAAGTGACTGACTGAGAGACTCAAAGCTCTAAAGGATTTTGCTTGCTGAGCAAATTAGCTTTAAATCTTCATACTTAAGATTTGGAAGCTAAAGTAATCACTTCCAAAGATTTTTTCCCATTCCAGTACTTTTTCCATTACACATCTATGCATGTCCTTTTGGAGTGCAGCTGCTTGGTTCCCCTGCATAAAGAAGATAATTAGGTCTAATAATCTAACTTCTGAATTATTTCTGTTCAGATTGTATAGACCAATGGAGTTTTTCATTCAGTGCTTGACCATTCACACAAACACAGTAAACTGAAATCCTGTCCTGATTAAAAGAAGAGAAAAGCTAGAATTTCCCATGGGATAGGGAGCATTCTTTTTCTAATAAGTGAGGATGCTATTAATATCCTCCCTGCCATTTTTGTACAAGCAATGTGACTGTTAAAGTTGGGATGGAGAGCTACATGATTTTCAAAGTGAAGCAAGAAGACTGTATGAATGAATGCCACTAGAATTTGACAAAAGATGTTATCAATTTTGTGATTGAACTGTGATAATCCCTATGTATTTCTAAATCCCCATAAACTGTTTCATAAAGCTTAGGAGTTATTACTTATACATGTTTTCTGATAAGCTATTGTCATGGGAGATTTTATTAGCAAACACTTGAGTGGGAAATTGGAGAGACTTGGCATATTTGAAGTAAGTGTACCCAGAAGAGGAATAATTTCCTCCTGGGCTAACTGGGAAATCCACTAGTTTTGGATTTGAAGGTTGAAGCTAGTATTAAAAGTGCATAAAGAGAAATTAAGTGTCTGAATGGGCTTCTGGATTACATTGTGAGGTTGAGCTTAATCAACAGAATCTTCCAGCTGACTCTGGCTGTCTGCAGATAGGTATTTTCATGTTCATTTTGTGTTCAAATGATGACTCTCAATCCAAGCAGCTTGACCAATTCATTAAATTGCACATCAAATAGATCTCCAACCGAAAACTCTGAGAAATACATACCCATGCAATCAGAGCGAGAACTGAGAAAGCAATACCATGGATCACTCACCAGTGATTTGTGCATTCATTCTGGGTTTTTTAAAATATCACTCAGTAGCTGTCTTAGGATGCAAACACTTCTGTGACATGGCTTAGTGTGAGGTGTCCCTGCCCATGGCAGGGGGGTTGGAACTAGATGATCTCAAAGACCTTTCCAACTATTCTACGATTCTATGATTCTGTGTGTACTGAGTGCAGGAGGGGGACAAAGTGGGCAGCTGGGAAACAAGAAGCAGGAA